GCAATTTCAGTTAGATGCCCTCGTTCACCTTCACTGCACTTATCTATTACATTTCCTTTCATTAATCAGTCAGTGGATTGATTAGTGAGCAATGCTTGCCCGAGGTTTTGATTTATCCTACATCTTGCTGTGTGGTTTTTTTGCTTACATCACACAGAATTATTTGCTCTAAATACTTCATCTCACACCTGGCATCTATAATTCAGTTTTCTGTCTATGGGAGTCACTCAGATATTGAACACTTTCTTGTTCACAAGGGGGGCATTGGCACTGTGGATGCAGTTTGACACCATTTTAACTGCCATAGCTCAGTGCTATGGAAACTTGGAATTGGGAGTTGGTTGAGGGACCAGCAGTCTTTGGCAGAGGAGGCTATAGTTAAAGACCTTGTGAAACTACAGCTCCCTTGATTCCATAGCATTTAATCATGGCAGTATTAAAAAGTGGTGCCAAACTTCTTTCATTCTACAGTGTAGATCAGGCATGGACAATCTTTTGTTGGATCATGGAAGAAATCAGTTAGTGTGTGTGTATCAACTATAAAGCAAGATGCACAAACCTGATTGGTTGAGCTTTGTGCAGGGAGTTGGCTGAGCCTGGGACTTTTGATTGCTGTTACATTTTTCAGGCTCGAGCTATGCAGGTGCTTGGAAAGAAGCACAGAGAAGCAGAGAGAGACACAGTTTGGAGTGTGCTCTCGCTTCATAAGCTACTCGAGAAGTTTGTCCACATGGACAAAGAAAGACCATTTTAAATCTTTCATAAAAGGACATTGTGTGAGCTGATGCAACTGATCGCATTGTAAATATGTTGTTCTGAACTATGGAGAGTAAACTGCTTGTTCTTTACTGTTAATCTCCGTGGCATATTTTCTTTCTCTGGCAAGACAGTGTGTCGGCTAATCAAATATGAACTACACGTGGTTTATTTTTACATTATGCTACAACAGCCAGTAGTCTGTTAGGAATTGTGGGAGCTGAAGTCCAAAACACCTGGAGGGTCGAAGTTTGCCCATGCCTAGTGTAAATACACCCAAAGAAATTCTAAACTTGCCTGTGATACTTTCTGTTTCTGTACCTAAAACGAATGGGATGCCTTTACTCATCTTAACTCAGAAATAAACTGAGCTCTTTGAGGCAGCTTCTTTCTGAATTAGTCCCAAAATAATGACAGGCACACCTCAATTAACAAAGTCTCTGACAATGAAGCTTACTTTATGCTGCCCACTCAATTTTAAAGTAGCATCAGCACTGGGAACATAGTGAAGGAAGGATGGGAGAAACATTTCCAATGTTAGAACTCAGCATTATCTGAAGAAAGCCAGTGAAGAAACAAAACTTGAGCTGGGAAAGAACAGTGTTCTACTTCCGTAATTATGTGTGCTTACTAGCAACAGACAAGGTACACAGCAGCTGTCACTGCATATTTCCTTATCGAATATGGATGTGTTGTAGTACAGCCTGAACTTGAGGCTGATGGGTTCACTGATAGTTTAGAGAGAGTTGTGGGATTTCCTGTGAGATTTCCTGGGGAACAAAATGATGAAAATTCAAGTCAGGGAAAGGATGGTTCTCTCTGGGGAAAACCTGACTCCGAAAGTAGGTCGGCCAAAGCAGCCAGAAACCACAACATTAGATAAGGAATTGGGCAAAGAATGAAGTGTTTGGAAGGTTCCCAGGGCAAAACACCTGGCGCTGTGGAGGTCAACAAAAGCCTTCGTTTACAGATTAGAGCTGAAAACAGACAGCTCCGGTCAGAGTGTCCACATGGGAAAATTGAAGAGAGATTTCATGGGAAGCAAAATGACTTCATGGATGTCTATTAATTAGCAAGAGTTAGTTCAGGCAATACAGCATTAAAGTGAGGCAGATAGGCCTGTGTTCTGTGGTCCTTGTTTCAAGTCAAGCCTTGATTTTGCATTGGCTTTGCATTCAAGTATTCTGGAAGCTTTTTATATCCATGTTTTTATATTCTTGCTTAAGTTTTTACTAAGTATACCTTGCTTGTGTATTTATGTTATACTGGTGACTTTCAGGCTATTCCTGGGCTATATTAGCTTGGGATTTGCATGTGACTTTTGGATTACTGTCAGGTTATCACCTATTGTGGACCTTTTCTTGGAATATACATCTTCTTTCTTTATTTCTGCTTTTTCATATATTTCTATGTGTTTTTACAATAAACTGTTTGCTTATACTGTGGTCTCTTGTGTGGTGCTGTGGTCATAGAGGTTCCCAGGCCTGGGGTGCAACAGGATGAACAGTCAAATAGAGGGGGAAAGGGGGAAAGCAGATAAACTCGCCTCACCAACTATCCCCAGCATTAAAAATAGATCTGCAAGTTTAGAAATCATAAGAAAAGTAAAAGCTGGTGAAGGCAAAAACCATCCCTGGATGTATTTTGGAAGTAACCTTCAAGTTGACTCAACAAGGTTAAAAATGTTTTTGTTTCTTGTTCAAGGCTTACCTAGCCTGGTAATGTGCATATTGTTAGTTTCAATGTAAGATTTACAGAAACATATTGCCTTGCGTTATTTTTTTAGTAGAACCAATACAAAGATTGCAGTAGGAATGACATTGAGGCCATCTACAATGCAAAACTGACCCCTTAACTCCATGATATGGAATTCTAGGGTGTGTGGTTTGGTATGATCCCCAACTCTTTGGACAAAGAGCTTGTAAAACTACAACTCCCATGATTCTCTAGCATTGAGCTCAACTGAATTAATTCTACAGTATAGAGGCACACATTGAGCCCAAGTAGCCCACAGGAGGAATCACAGCACCACAACAACCTCCCCCTCTACCCAATTGACTACTCTGATTTATGGTTTGACTAACAATGGAAATGTAAAAGACAATGGAGCCAGCATGGTATACTGATTTCGGCACTGGACTCTGGAAATCAGAATTCAGTTCTGTACCCAACCATGGAAAACCATTGGATGAACTTTGATGAGTCACATACTCTCAGCCCTGGAAACCCTCATGATAGGTTCATCTATGGCTTGAAGGCACACAACAACAACAGATCCAAAGTGGAGGTGAGCAGTAGCTTCAGAGTGGTCATTCCATCTAGGGCAGTGGTTCTCAACCTGTGGGTCCCCAGATGTTTTGGTCTTCAGCTCCCAGAAATCCTAACAACTGGTAAACTAAGTGGGATTTCTGGGAGTAGTAGGCCAAAACACCTGGGGACCCACAAGTTGGGAACCGGTGATCTAGGGGATCCTGAGAGTTGCTATCCATAAAAACAATTTTCTAAGTTCTTTGTCCTCCTAGAATTCTTTCCACAGGTTGAAACACAATAATGGCTTGGACTCAGGACATTCAGATCCCTTTGTAATATGTGGGCTTCAGATATAGGCTTCCATGGCGATGTTCTCTAGAACATTAAGGAAGGGCTTTGGGGAGGTAGGAATGAAAGGGAAAATGGTACTTTGTGTTTTTTTTTCTTTCCAGTTTCTTTTAAAAGAACAGAAGACAACGCTGATGATTCAGGTATCCTTGGTGAGTCTACAATCTCGAAAGGCCAACTTTTCTCACTCCCATTTCTCCTCTTTCATTTCAAAGAGGCATTTGCAATTTCAGTGGTAATTTGCAGCAGCGTCAAGGAGCATCTTGGGGATAAGAGCTGCGTTGCTTTGCGCCCCTCGCGTAGGAGGCACTGGGCACAATGCCTCCTTTTTGGCTCTGAAGAGGTGTGCTTCACGATTATAATTAAGGCTGTGCCCAAGTCAATGTGCTAAATAGAACTGCGGCATTACTAGGGAGTCATGTTCCCAACTCCAGGACTTGCACTAGAGAGAGACTATGGAAATCTTTAACAAGATAAATGTTGGATGTTTTGGGAGTCTGCGTTCTTACTACAGTTTGCAAGTAACTTGTTGCAAATGACCAATTAATTCCTTCCCCAGTGAGCAAGATATAAAGACATAATATTACTACACTAATTTAAAAGTGGATAACCAGGCTCCTTTTGAAGGTATTAGTTTGGAGGTAAACGATTCATTAACCAGAACCCATTTCCTCCTCATTTTTATATTTCTAAACCAAACTCTATACCAGGGCAAGCTATAGGGGCTTCTAGCACAGTATTCTCTAAGAGGCAGCAGCTTTCCATTCTGTCCCGCAGCAAAGGATCTTTCCCATGATCTGCCACTTGGGATCTTTTTAACTGCAGATGCCAGGAATGGAAAAAGGGATTTGGGGTTCCAAGAAAGTGCTGTACTCCCATGATGCAGTAGGCCTCTTTCCTACTGAAGAAACTGTAAAACTTTGCAGTGTTTGCTGACCAATGAAAAGTACATCAGAAAATGTGATAATGCATATGCCATTGCACATCTACTACTTCACTACACTAGAGAATAAATCCACTTCTGCCTCATGCAGAATTCTGGGGTTTGTAGTTTAATGAGGCTGGCAAAGGCTCCTCCCTAAACTATAAACCCCAGAATTCTGCAGGAGGCAAAAACTGGATTTAAAGTGGATTCATTCTCTAGTGTGATAAGGTTCATCATAACCATCCATTGGTTGTAGTCTGAATGGAATATGCAGAAAACTGAAGTTGAAAGACCCATCATATTTTGATATATGGAATCAGTCCAGATCTATTAATAATTGCCCAATATATAACAAAACAGGAAGAAATAGCTTATTGCTGTACCCCAGTGGTTCTCAACCTGTGGGTTCCCAGATGTTTTGTCCTTCAATTCCCAGAAAACCAGCTGGTAAACTGGCTGGGATTTCTAGGAGTTGTAGACCAAAACACCTGGGAACCCACAGGTTGAGAACCACTGCTGTATCCAAATACCACTCTTTTTAGTAACATCCCAGGCTCCCTGTAAGTTCCCAAGTATATTACAAAAGTGGCTCTCTTCCCACTTACTTAAGAGTAAGGAGTATGTCACTTAATGGGATTTACTTTCATTATGCACAAGAGTGTGCTGTAAATACTGCAGCCCTAATACGTAAGTTAGCATCTAATATAAAAGGCAAACAAACCAAAATCTGGCTAATTTCTTCTGGCCGTTTGTGAAGCACCGTAATCCCATTGACTTCTCGCAGCTCATCTCCAACATGGACAAGACCTAAGAAGAAATAGAGGAACAATGATTAAAAGTTATGTATCTTCTTCTTGGATGGAAGAGGTGTTGCATTGCGTATAGCACACATTTGAAACTGTACTCCTCTAGATATTGTTAGACTGCAACTTCCCTCACCCCTAACCACTGGTCATGCCCATTAAGTTCTGGAAAGCCGTAGGTCACCCAGCCCTGGATGTGTTCCTGGTCAGAACTTCCTTGGAGGTCCACTTTCTTCTCTTGTTGTCAGTGCTCAATCTAGAAGAGTCAATCTTCAAAAAGGATTACATGTTGAGGAATCGTCTTAAACTTGCAAAAAGGTCTTATGTATTCCCATTACCATCAGTGTGTTTTTGTTTATAATTGAATGGATCTTCAAATGTTAATGAAAAGCTTTAAACTGGAGTGGTACTAAAACATATCTTGTTAGAGCCACGGCTCTAACATATGGAATCCTGAAATGTATGGTTTAGATGGGGAATTTAGAACTTTTGAGAAGAAAGCTCTATTTCCTCTGCAAACTATAAATCCCAGAATTCCATGACTGTTTCCATGGAAGTTAAAATGCTATAATTGGATAGTACAAAAAGGCCCTCTACTAATATCAAGTCAACCTATACTGAACTATAGGTTAAAATATACTTAATCCACTTGCAAGATACAGCCAGTATGGTATAAAACTCTGGCAGGATCTACACTGCCCTATAATCCAGTTTCAGAATGTGGATTAACTGCATTGAACTGTATTATATCAATCTACACTACCCTATAATCCAGATTAATGCAGTTAATCCACATTACTGGTCTTTAGGGAAGTGTAGATCCAGCCTCTGAAGGACCAGGGTTCCTTGGAATAAATAGCAAACTGATCTGCAGAGGACTTGTTTTCTGTAATTGTAATGGAGAGGAAAGGGAACTCTGTTCTCTGGATAAACATACCACTGCGGTCAGCCGCTCCTCCCCTCATGATCCGTGCCACAATCACAGCTCCCGTGTGCTCGTCCCGCCTGATTGTTGCACCCTAGAATATGAAAAAGAAAAATATATCCAGTAATATGTAGATATGCATCTGGTGCAGACATGAAACCCTATGGATTCAATTGTAAATCATCTAGATCAGCCTTTCTCGAAGTATGCTCTGTAGTGCCCTTGGGGCTCCACGAAGCATACTGAGGGACTGCATGGTTCCCTTCACTTCCTCCTCCTCCTCAGCCTCCAAACTTTCCTTCCTCTTTCCTGTTTCTCCCCCTCCCCAGCTCCCTCACCCCCAAAAGCTTTCTGACCCCACATGCCTCCTTTTCTGCCCAGATCCTTTTCCCCTTGTTTTCCTTGCTTCCAAAACCCAATTTTTTCTCACCAGTCAGGTGGTGCTTTGATTGAGCTTTTCCTGCATGGTAGAAGGGAGTTTAACTGGATGGCCCCTGGGGTGGTGGTGATGATGATGATGATGATGATGATTATTATTATTATTATTAGTAGTAGTAGTAGTAGTATTACTACTACTACAAAGGCTATGTGGTTTTCTTTTGGTGGTGCTTTGTGTCAAAAAGTTTACCCATGCCTGATACATATATACTATAAATAATATAATATATAAACATTTATTGGAGCTCCATGAAAAACTTTTGTTTCAAAAAGGGTTCCACAGCTGAAAACGTTTGAGAACCCCTGAGGCAGATTCTAGAGCAACGTCTCTTAACCCAATGCAACTTTATGTGCAGCTTCTACAAATACCTGTCTAGCATGGTTGTGCAAAGGATTGGGGGAGCTGTAACCCCACACATTTGAGCACTGCCAGATTGGGGAAGGTTGTGCACATGTTTCCATGTAGTGCCTAATATATTCTTCTGGGAAAGCTCAAAATCAGAGTGTAAAGAAAATCATTTGTTCAGGTCTTTCTAAAACATCTATAGTTGGCCACTTTGGGAATGATAATACTACCCAATATCAACCTTTCATTGGTTTCCTTTAGGGTTCTTTGCATATTTTTACACGCACTAGCCTTTTTGCTACACACAGTACAACATAGATCTCTCACACATACCAAAGGTTCTTTATTCTTCACCAGGCGAACTATTTTGACCGACTCTTCATCAAAATCATCATCAATATTTTCAGGCAAAGGAGGGAGGACAGGGTCAAAATTCTTCTGGGCAACAGTGTCATGTACAACCAGCATCGCCTTTAGGGTAGTTGGGAAGGAATGGAAAGAGATGGAAAAAAGAATAAAGGGCAGGTGAAAAAGGGAACCGATCAAGGGATCTTCTTCAACCTGTTGGCATCCAGCTGGATTGTACTACAACACCCATCATCTCAGGCAGCATGGCCTCTGCTGGGACCAGACCTTTGCCATCGTGATCATACTATGATATTGTTTGGTCACATATCTCCCAGTTTTTTGTCTGTGTAAAGAGGAACTAAGGGTACATCTACACTGTAGAATTAATGCCGTTAATTCAGCAGTGCCTCAATCCTTTGGTATATTGAGAGTTGCAGTTTGGTGAGATGACAGCACTCTTTGGGAGAAGGCTAAAGATCTTGTAAAGCTACAACTCCCATGATTCTATAGAACTGAGCCACAACAGTTAAAGTGATGTCAAACTGCATTAATTCTACAATATAGATGCACCCCAAGTGAAATAAAACTAACAGGCTTGTCTACTCCTATCACAAGGAGTCTTGAATCCTATTGATTTGTCTGAGCTAAAGTAGACTCACTGAATACATTGTGGAATGGTCTGTCAACACATAAATACATTTCATTGGGGGTTTTTAAAAAAAAATCCCCCCTATTCGAACTATCAACAAAATTCAGCGTATTCTCAACTGTTTATTCATTGATGGGTCTATGGACTGTAATAAATATTGTTGTTGTTTTTGTCATCCATAATTGAATGGATCTTCTAATGTTAATAGAAAACTTTAAACTGGAGTAGGACTAAAATGTATCTTGGAGTCCTTTCAGGGACTGCCACTTGTTGAAAGCCAGCTCCACTGGCTTTCAACAAGTTTCCGAGCTCAATTCAAGGTGCAGGTTATCACCTATAAAGCCCTATACACTTTGGGTCCAACCTATCTTTGTGACCGTATCTCTTTCCACAAACCATCGTAGGCTCTGAGATCAACAGGGGAGGTCCTTCTCTCAGTCCCACCACCATCTCAAGCACAGTTGATGGGGACGAGAGAGAGGGCCTTCTCTGTGGTGCCCCTCCGGCTCTGGAATACCCTCCCAAAAGAGATTAGATTAGCCCCCACCCTTTAATCCTTCTGTTCCAACCTGAAAACATGGATGTTCAGACAGACCTTTGACCTTGAGTAAGATGAATGGCACCTTGTGAGTTGACAGCAGTTAGTTTTATCTACCATTGTTTTAAAATTGTATTATTTTGATTTTATGCTACATGTGTTAACACAGGGGTTGTTGTCATAATTTTATGTGACTTGTTTTATACTTTTGTACCTTTTTTACCTGTTGTATGTTATATATACACCCTGGAGTGCCTTGTAAGCTGCCCCGAGTCCCTTTGGGTAGATGGTGGCGAAATATAAATAAAGATTATTATTATTATTTGAAACACAACAAGATGAGTCCACAGCAAACAAGATCACTCTGCTGGCTGTTGTATTGGATCACACATCGGACACTTACCAAGTGTCTAGGACTGTGTGATGTATTGGCAAATAATGTCTGCACATCCCAGTAAGGTGGCCTTCTGCAGTTGGCCAATTGTGTTTAAGTGCAGGCCAAGGTCTTTAGGCACTGCACCCAGTGTGCCGATCACCACTGGGACCACCTTGACTGGCTTGTGCCAGAGTCGTCGTCGTCTTCTTCTTCTTCTTCTTCTTCTTCTTATTATTATTATTATTATTATTACTATTACTATTGTTATTATTATTATTTTACTGACACAAAAACACAGTATGACACAGCAAACGAGATCTATATGCTGGATGTCGTATCACAAAATCACAAGTCAAACTCTTCCCAAGCGTTTATGACTGTGTGGTATGTTTTCGAATGATGCGCTCAGATCCAAGTAAGGTGGTTTTTTGCAGCTGACGGATCATGATTATTTATTTATTTATTTATTTTTATTATTCTATATAGAAATCCTTCTCAAACTAGAAAAGGACTTAAGTATTCAACAGTGCCCCTGTACACACCCTCAACAAAAATGCAGTTTGTTGTAGTTGTACAGATTATTGCTTTTTCAAAAGATCCTCGGAGATACCATTGTCCTGAGCATATGGTGTCCTGCGCCCATGCAAGCAAGCTAGCATAAAAGAGAAAAATGCTGATTTCTTTTGACTTCCATTCTCTCTTCATTTCCCTTCTTAAATTGTCTTTCCCCTTTGTTCTTGCATGTTTTATTAGATTGAAGATAAATCTTAAAAAGAACATAATCTCGGCGCTTGCCTACTACCATTAAATATTTCATACAATGGTTCTGAACTGGCAGCCAGCCACAGAGCCGCAGCGGAGTCTAGCATAGAGGAAGTATTTTTCCAATTTTCAGTGAGAGGCTGACTTCTGGAAAAGAAAATGTGTATTGATGACAGGGGAGGAGTAGGAAAGTGTCTGAGCATCAGCAATGCAAATAAATATCAAAGTTTTTTCTTAAAAGAGTATTGGTGTTCAACATCCCTAGTGAATTGAATCTCAGCCAGGAATGTGATGCCACAGCAAGAAGGGTCGATACGATTCTAGGCAGCGGATTTTAAGTGGATTTTTTAAGTGTGATGAGGCCCGCAGAATTCTTGGATTTGTAGTTTAGGGAGAAGCCTTTAACAGCCTCACTAAACTATAAACTCTAGAATTCTCCAGGAGGCAGAAACTAGATTTTAAGTGGATTTTTTCTCTAGTGTGATGAAGAGGTTGAGTCATGAAAATTGTAGCACTTCTAGATTCAGTGCTACAAATAACCCTTTTGGTGTTCTGTGTCCAGTGCAGCTATTAATGATTCTTACTGCAAGAAATTATTTAAAACCTGTGAAATGTTTAAAAAGACTATTTGGAATTTAGGACTTATCTATCTATACACATAATAAAAATGAAAATTGCACCAGGACTGTGGCACAGCTGGCTGGGTGTCAGCTGCATTAAGATCACTACTGACCAAAAGGTCATGAGTTCGAAGCCAGCCCAGGTCGGAGTGAGCTTCYGGCCAATTTGTGTAGCTTGTTGTCGACCTTTGCAACCTGAAAGACAGTTGCATCTGTCAAGTAGGAAATTTAGGTACCACCTATGTGTGGGGAGGCTAATTTAACAAATTTTGGAGGCCATAAAAAATCTGCAACAAAAGCATGTGGGGAATGCGGAAAATACTTCATCAGTGTCRCAGATGGACAGTGAAACAACAGCTCTCCTGGAGGCCAGAAAATTGGAATGTTAAATAGCCTCTGRCTGTCTGTGTTATGTGTATAATAATAATAATAATAATAATAATAATAATAATAATAATAATAATCTTTATTTATACCCTGCTACCATCTCCCCATGGGACTCGGTGCAGCTTATATGAGGCTGAGCCCACAATACAACAACACGAGCAATACAAGCAATAACAAATACAATACAAAGCAATTAAAATAAATCTTATACACAAAAAGCATAAACATTAAACAGAATACAGTGCACATTTATGGCATTGAATGTTTACCATGTATGTTTACATTGTAATCCGCACTGAGTCCCCTGCGGGGTGACAAGGGCAGAATATAAATACTTTAAATAAATAAATAAATAAATAAATATGTGGCTGGCGTGTCCACTTACACAGACAAGCTCCTGTCTCCAGAAACAGCTCTAGCTCTCACTGTTCAGGAGACACCAATGGCCCTCCCTCCAATGACATTGCAAGTTATAGTGAGTGCCATGGATATGTCCAAGAGTCCTGCCCAGTGTCCTCCACAAACATGATACTGCCCACCACCCAAGTGAAGGCTTTCATAAGGAGACAATTTCATCCAAGATTTTATGTGTTTCCTCCACCACAGGCAACCCAGTGTTTCTTACTCTCTCCACTGGTGTGGAATTTACATGACCCCACCCACTGCCTCTCCATTAACCCTTTCCTATTCTTTTCTATGGCACTCAGCAAACAGAGGAATTGATCAGCAACTGAACATACTAGAGAGGTTTGGGGAGAATTCACCATGATTTATAGGAGTTGTAGGTCCTGGGATGTATAGTTCACCTGCAATCAAAGAGCTCTCTGCATTCCACCAACAATGGACCTGGAACTAACTTGGCACACAGAACCCCCATGACCAACAAAAATTACTGGAGGTCTTTGGAGGGAGTTATAGGAGTTGTAGTTGCTGGGATATATAGTTAACCTACAATCAAAGAGCGTTCTGAACTCCACCAATGATGGAATAACCAAACTTGGCACACAGAACCCCCATGACCAACAGAAAATACTGGAAGGGTTTGGTTTGCATTGACCTTGAGTTTTGGAGTTGTAGTTCACCTACATCCAGAGTGCCCTATGAACCCAAACAAGGATGGAGCTGGACCAAACTTGGCATGCATACCCAATATGCCCAAATTTGAATACTGGTGGAATTTGAGAGGAATTGACCTGGACATTTTGGAGTTATGGGTACTGGGATTTATAGTTCACCTGGAATCTGGAATTGGACCAAACTTGGCACACAGAGCCCCCATGACCAGCAAAAATACTGGAGAGCTTTGGGAAAATTCACCTTGATTTGGGGGAGTTGAAGTTCACCTACACCCAGAGGGCACTGTGAACCCAAACAATGATGGATCTGGACAACAGTTGGCACACACACCTGATATGCTGATATTTTATTACTGGAGAGGTTTGGGGAAAACTGATCTTCCTTTTTGGGAGTTGTAGTTTACCTACATCCAGAGGGCACTGTGAACCCAAACAACGATGGATCTGGACCACAGTTGGCACACATACCTGAAATACTGATATTTTATTACTGGAGGGGTTTGAGGGAAACTGATCTTCCTTTCTGGAAGTTGTAGTTCATTTACATCCAGAGGGCACTGTGAACTCAAACAATGATGGATCTGGACCACAGTTGGCACACATACCTGAAATACTGATATTTTATTACTGGAGGGGTTTGGGGGAGCTGCCTTTCCTTTCTGGGAGTTGTAGTTCACCTACAACCAGAGAAACTGTGACCTCCACTGGAACTTGC